AACAAGCAAATGGAGGGGACACACTTGGGTGGGAGGGGGGATAGGGAGGAGGGAGGGAGGTTTCGGTGATGGGACATAATAATCAACTACATTGTATATTGACAAAATAAAAATAATAATTAAAAAAAGAAGATGGAATTTTAGTGGGATTTAAACATCTGTGGATTAGGCAGAAGGGAATTTCTGACTGGGGAAATAGTGTGAACAAAGCCTCAAAGGAGCAGAAACCTGGATGTAGTTTGACTATACATTTGGGTTTATGAAAGGGAGCAATAGGAAATATACATTTAAAAGTGTACTGTCAGATTGAGGGGACCCTGAATTTCATACTAAGAGGTTTGGTCATAATTTTCTAAGCTAAAGCAAGGCATTGGAGGTTTTGGATAAGGGAAATGGAAGAAAGTTGTGTTTCAGTATGGGAACCCCTGATAAAGAGTTTGGCATGGTGGTTGTAAACTGAATTTTGATGGACTGATGCCCCCAATAAAGTTCTAACCAAGATCTCTCTCTTGTCCAGGCTGCTGATGTACTTCTGCAACAGGGAGCTAATGTCAATGTTCAAGATGCAGTTTTTTTCACTCCATTGCACATAGCAGCATACTATGGACATGAACAGGTGAGTCAGACAGTAAGATTCCCAAACGCTAGGGGACCACTTAAGTTTGCAAATTGTTGTTGTGTCCTATCTTCACAGAAAGCATACTTGAGATATCCTTTAATTATTCTTGCTATATTATCATCAGCTCCACATTTAAGGAGCTTGTAGATTGGTATAAACATTATAGCTCCCATGTCATTCATTTTTACTGACTATCTCAGTACAGAATGGAGGTAGAAGAATACACTAGTAAGTGAGAAGTCACAGGAATCAGTCAGCCTGGATGTGAAAAATTTTCTAGCTTTATGACCATGTGTAACTTATATAATCCCTCTGTTTTTTATTTTTTTTATCTATGAAAAGGGAAAAATATTAATGGTACCTACCTTATAGGGTTGCCTTTATAATGAGATATAAATTAAGTATGTGGAAAATGCTCAGTAAATGTCACTGTGATGATACTAATGAAAATAACAATAAAACAAATCATAAAGGTCCTTCCAATGGTTCTCTGGAAAAAAATGTCTTTCAGAAACTTTGTTTTCTCTTTTCTACTGTCATGGGATGTGGTAAGCTGAAAAATGTCTCCTGAAATATGTTCACATTCTAATCTCTGTGAATTAATAAGAGGTTAAAATGATGCAAGATATGGGCCACAAGCTAAGTTATGCAGGCAGCCTACAGAAGCTGAAAAAGCAAGGAAATGGAAGCTTCCAGGAGGCCACAACCCTGCCAACACCTCAATTTTAGACTACTTACCTTAAGAATTGTAGGAGAATAAATTTGTGTTATTTTACATCAATATGTCTGTGGTAATTTGCTACAGTTGCAATGGGAAACTAGTACATGGAATAACCTAGATAACTAAAAAACAATCACTAAATGTGCTTTATTTATATAATTTCTTATATAATTGTGTAACAGGTACATATTTATAAAATTTGATATTCTATAATAAAATAATAATACACACAGAATGCTTCAAAATTTTTAATGTACATTTGTTCAATAAATAATTTTATTTGACTTTCACAATGACTTTATGAACTCAATAAGAGCTACCAGGTGAGTGAGCTCTTACAGTGAAACAGGCACTATGCTAAAATCTTTGTTTTGTTTTTTTTCTAATTTTACCACAACTCTAATATTAACTGTTATTCGCCCCTTCTTATCAAAGGTACTCATGAAGCTCTATCAGGTCAGGTATCAAGCCAGAGTCATTCAGCTAATAAGTAGAAAAGCCAAAATGTGTACTCAGGTGTCTGATCCCAAAGCCCATATTCGTTCTGTTGTACCAAAACACCTCTTCTTATTCCTTTTCAATCAGTCAGACAAATCATAAAGTCCAGGCAATTTGCCTACGTGGTGAAACCAGAATGCAAGGCAATGTGTTCTAACTCCAAAGTCCATTGATGATTTTTAAGCGTAATATTTCGAAAGACAAAACTTTCATGTGCCACTTTTAAACACTGCTCTTCACCTATTCTCCAGGAACTAAAGAGAACCAAATAAAACAGACATATAAATGTAATTGGATAACCAAACATAACTGTTCTTTAGACACCCCATTTTCACCCTTTCTCATTTTATCTCCCTAGGCTCTTGCAATCATGGAGTAGAATTACACCTTTTTAACTGCCTAAGGGTCGTGTTACTGCCCCGCTTGAGGGTACCAAGATGAAAATCAAACTTACTTGTGTCTCTGTGCGTTCTGGTCATTGTGCCTTTATTTCTCTGTTAGCTGTCATATGCTTAGACACTCTCAGACTGCGAAGCGTGACCTATAGCTAGGAAAGATTGCTCATTTCATTGATGTGCTTGCTCAGAGTGCACTGGAGTGCACGGGAGAACTGGGCACTGAAAATGCTTTTAAAAGTACAGGGTCCAAAAGCCCAAGTGATGGAAAAATTCTGTACTTTTCTGACTTCAGGCACACACAGAATATATAAAAGCACATTTTATTTGTAGAATCATCCTCTTTGGTGATTAACCTCCTCACCTAAAAGAAACATAAAGAGCTTCTATGCATGTTGGTTGGAGAGCCAAATTTGTTTACTTTCCCTGAAAATGTAGTCACAGTTTTATAAAATTATGCTAAAACGTGGATGGCCCTTTTATGATAAGGGACCCACTTTCTGTGTATGAAGACAGCACATAAGGAATTTATGGAGGCTATTGTCATTTGCTAAAATATGCTGACAAAGAGAATGGTACGTTTGATATATAAATGTGCCTAATGTGCCGTGTTCCTTGCCATTTGTTTATTTACTTATTTTTAAGTGCAAGAGTAGATGTTTTGTACCAAGAGCAATATTTCCTAAGTATGAAATAATAGTGCTTAATGGACAATCGATTTGAGAGATAGTTTAAATCTGTCCATCATAAAGTCACATAATCAGAATTTACAGAGTCTGTGTAAGTGAAAATATCTGCATAGGAGTGCAGGGTTCTTGAGACTAAACTTCTGCTGTTCCGATTTCTCATGATTTAAGTCTTGATCTGCACATCAGACAACAAAGGGATAAAATACACATGCTCCACATTGGTGCAACCACTTTTACTAACAGTTATCGAGTGCCAGCCACTTTTCTAAGTGCTTTACATGTAATAACTTATTTAATCCTCACAACAGCTCTACGAGGTAAAGCTATTTTTATTCCCATCTTAACGATCAAGAAACTGAAATATCAAAAGATTAAATAATTTGTTCAAAGTGATGTAGATAATAAGTAGAAGCCTGATTCCAAGACGCTTGCTCTTACCACCTACATTCAATAGGAAATCCATTTCCCCACATCCCACCAAACTAATATTTTGCCTAGAATATTTATAAAAATCTGCAATATTCTAAATAGGTTTCTACGCAAGGCATGCTTATTGCTGCTGCATAGTTTTAGCTCAATAGGAAATCCATTTCCCCACATCCCACCAAACTAATATTTTGCCTAGAATATTTATAAAACATCTGCAATATTCTAAATAGGTTTCTACGCAAGGCATGCTTATTGCTGCTGCATAGTTTTAGAGCTTGAATTCACTTTTGTGCTGACAGCTCAGTGGTCAGGACAGTTCAGGGATCCTCCCTTAAGTGTTATTTTAATGACTTCGGTGAATCCTAACTTAACTTTTAGGATCACTGAGATGGCTTTTGAAATTCTCAGTGGAAGCTATGTCAGGTTTAGAGGAATTATTTGGAAAGTTCCTAAATATACATGTAAATGACTCAAAAGAATCCCATCAGTTACCTGAAACATCTCCCAGAAAACTCCTCAGCACTTCGTCACTTCTTCCCTCTCTGACCCTTTGGATGTCGTATCTCAGCTAATTGAGGGCGATGCCAGGGTTATGGTCACTATCTCCCACTTACTCCCACATCCAGAAAAGGACCCAGAACTCCAGTAGCAAGTTGACCAGCAGTGATCTGTGCATGGAGCTGCCATGAAAATCAAGAATCAAATAAACTAATGCTGGCTCTGGCCAGAGGAGACTTCAGAAAAGATTGTTCAGAGAAGACCATGGGTAACTTTAGAGAGGATTATTTATGTACAATGAAGATCTATGTTATGGAATTGACAAGAGAGGTGATACTAAAGACAGGAAATGTCAAAAGTAGGTTTTCAAAGCCAAAAATTGTGAAGAGATTTTTTTTTACTTTTTCAAAGCTCACTCGTATCTCATCTAGTTCTCACAATAATTCTGAAAAGTAATGGTAAATAACATTGTCTCAGTTCACCAATAAAAATAAAAAATAACATTTACAGAACATATACTATACGTTAATCATGGTGCTATTCATATTGAACAAATTATCTCATTTGATACTCACAACAACCCATGAGTTAAATCTTAACTATTATTCTCTTTGTACATATGAAGAAACTTAGGTTTAGATAAGTTGACTCATTCTCTCAGGGTCACAGAGCTAATATAAATCAGATTCTAGATTTGAACTTAGATTTTGATTAGTTATAGCCCCTCACAATAAATCTTTCCCCTTGTCCAGGAATTAGTAGAGATGGTTGCAAATGACATAGTCCAGGACAAGAAAATATGGGAGGATGGTTTCTGGATAGTTTTCAGGAAAGAATTTCTAAATTTATAAAAAAGGGGCTGATCCCTTGTTCCAAAAAGTAGAGGTATTTCCTTACTCTGCTCTGTGGACTCTGGTTTGTAATGCCTGGAGCTGCTGCAGCTTTCTTGCTACCATGAGGGTTTTCATCCCACTTGCTAAGCATGTTAGAAAAGAATGTTAGAAGGAACTTGAATTCTGACAAGTTATTATGCTGCTGTATTAATCAACTCTGGAATTGCTCCAGTTTTGGACTTCTTATTGGGTGATATTATAATAAATTCCTTATTGTTTAGGCCAGTTGAGTTAGGATTTTCTGTTATTTTCAGGTGAAAATAACCTAAGAGAATGCATTAATGATATGTGTTCTTCCATATTGCTGAAAGCTTTACATTATTATTTGACTTTTGTTACTAATTTCAAACGAATGGATCCTCTAGGTAACCCGTCTCCTTTTGAAGTTTGGCGCTGATGTAAATGTAAGTGGTGAAGTTGGAGACAGGCCCCTCCACCTAGCATCTGCAAAAGGATTCTTTAATATTGCAAAACTTCTGATGGAGGAAGGCAGCAAAGCAGATGGTAAGATTATTTGTTTAGAAGACCTTTGCTATCATTGTCATTTACTTTTTAGTTGTTCTGCTCTTACTTACTGGAGAATAATCTTAAAGTTGATTAATCCTGTAGTCAAGTACTAATTTGTTCCATGTCTTAATTTATTATTTTTAATATATCTATTAAACCTACATATAAATCTTTTTTACAGGTTTTAGCTCAATTCCTAACATATTAGGTGCCCCAATGGAGTAAGGAGTTTCCTAGATAAATTAGTCCTACTTGTAGTTATTCACTAATCTTTTCTTTTTTAATTGAGGTATAATTTACACATAACAAACTATCAAATATTAAGTGTGCAGCCTAATGAATATTTACTTATTCATACATCCACATAAAAACTACCCGGATCAAGATATGAAATATTTTATCACTCTGGAATGTTCCCTTTGCCCTCATTTCAGTAAATAGCCTTCACTATCAAAGTTAATCAATATTCTGTCTTCTATTGCATAGATTAGTTTCATCTGTTATTGAAGTTGATATAAGTTTGTGACTGGCTTCTTTTGTTTAACAAGATGATTTTCAGATTCATTTATATGGTTGTATGAATCATAGTTTTCTCTTTCATGTTATTGATGATAGCATGAATATACTACAATTTGCATACCCATTCTCCTTTAGTGGATATTTTAATATTTCTAGTGTTTCACTGTATCAGTCTATTTGTGTTGCTATAACAGAAATACCTGAGACTGCGTAATTTATAAAGAACAGAAGTTTCTTTGGCTTACAATTCTGGGGGAGCTGCATCTGTCATGGGCCTCAGGCTGCTTCTACTCATGGCAGGAAGCATCAGGCAGCCGGCAGATACAAGCAGATCACATGGTGAGAGGAGGCAAGAGAGAGAGAGGGGAGGTGCCAAGGTCTTTTAAACAACCAGCTCTCGTGGGAACTAATAGAGCAAGAACTCACGCATTAATCCCCCCTCCCCCAGGGAGAGCATTAATCCATTCGTGAGAGATCCACCTCCATGACTTAATCAGTTTCCAACACTGCCACATTGGGGATCAAATTTCCACATGAGTTTTGGAAGGGACAACACATCCAAACTCCATCGTTCTCTGTTATGAATATGGCTGTCAGTTACATTCTTATTCAAGTCTTTTTGCGGACATATGCATTCATCTTTCTAGAGTATACATATAGGAATGAAATTGGTGGATCAAAGAGTATGCATATGTTTAGCTTTTTAGGAAATTTTCAGATAGCTTTCCAAAGTGTACTATGTTTCAATCCAACAGCAATATATGAGAGTTCCAGTTGCTTCCCACAGCATCCCCAATAATTGATATTATACTACCATGATTTTTAATAGAGATAGAATTTGAGTGTAATTAGGCTGGAAAAAAGCTTTAGAATACATGGAATGACTTTAAATTCGGTTAATAGGACAGAACTTCCCTCAACTTTTTATTTGTTTTAATTATAAAATAAAGTTTGGAAAGTTGATTAAAGGTAGAATATTGAAAAAATATCTTTTTTTCACTCTTCCTCACAAACTTTATTTTTTTACACAAACTCACTCAGAGTTACGTCTTGCCATTAAATTCTCTCAGGCATATCCAACATTTTTCCGTTGACCCCAAGAGATCTAATTAAAAGCCCATCTCTAAGAGCTGCTGGCCTTTTTGCAGCAGGAACAGTACACATTTCCAAAAGGACATGGTTGTCAAAACTCTAGAACTGCTAGTTCCTTGGTCTAAAATTCAGATTAACATTTAGTTAATAAAGCTAATCAATGTTTTCATCTCCTCATAAGGAAAACACAAAGGCTTCTACAGACAATTGTGGCAAGAAGCAAGGGCAATTTCCAGTTTTCATGTTGGAAACAGGAGGCACTTTATTTTGTAAAATTTGAAAAACATAGTTCACATTGTTTTCTATAAGCTAGTGTGCAATAATTCAGGCATCTACCTACAGTATTATTATAAACAACCTGTGTTGTCAAGACGTAAGGAATATTGTTCTGTGCACCTCTTTTAAGCAATCTCTTTCATTCTGTTAGTTTAGAATAGGCAGAGGTACACCTGTGTGAACCACTGAACACATAATTGTGTTTTTGAAACTGCTTCGCTCTTCCAAGAGGTCGGGAGCTGCATCACCATTTCCTTTTATTATCCAGCCAACCTTAGCTTTTTATTCCTCTGCACAACTCCAACTCTTGGTAGTGTCAAAATGAGTGTCATTTATGATCAGCATGTTTCTAGGATCAAAAGACTCCTGCAAAAGTCATTGAAATGTGTATTGCACTCACATTCTCCTTACTGTATTAGCATCATGTGATAAAATTTTTAACATTTTCTTTCTGACACTCACAAGTACTACATGCCTCCTACTCAATCATTTAAAAAAATCAAGAGACAGCATGACTCAGATTTTTAAGTATTTTTATTTCCTTCTACTACATGCTTGATATTTAAGTCCCTTTTGCACTTATCCAATTGCAAAAAATAAATCACATCTGCTGTGCCAGTAAACACTGTGTAGATAATTAGTTAGTTCACTTATTTCAAAATGTAGGTAAGCCTCCAGATGATTTATTTTAGATATAGACCTTGCCAGTGGTAAATGGACATAAGAGGAAGATTAAATGAATGACCTCAAAGGAGTACAATTTGAAATTTGGTATTTACAGTATGTTCCCATGGTAACAGAATGTCACAAATGAAAAATTCAGGTTACAAAATTAGCTAACTTGTAATTCTGAAAGCAGTCTCTTCAGTTCAGCATGTTTGGGAAGCTGACCTATTCAGTCAGATATGTTTAAGTCTCTGGTCTCCTCTGTATCTCTTAGGGCAATGAAAGAGGAGAAATGTAATGCCTATTGAATGCGATTGGAAAGGTCAAAATATTGCTGGACTGATAAGAAAACATAGTGATACAGTCCTCAAAATTTATGGTTTTGATAACGTTGAAAATGGAAAAATTTTAATTCAGATTTTATTAATTTTTGTCATCCAAATGTTAAGTGCTATAGTTCTTTTAAATAATACAATTTTTTAACATGAAACTGGATATTACGGAAAACCACAAAAAATTCCTAGAGCACGCCCAGTAAGAGGAACTGTTTTATTTTTTAAATATATTTTGTTGGCATTATTACACTGACTTGCTATTGAAAGTTTATTTAAGATGCATTGGGAGTTATTTGAAAGAGCCTCTGGGATATGTTGACATTTCTGGATTAACTGGAAATTTCATCTTCCAGGCCAATAAGCAGAAATAAGGAAGCAGCAGCATCCATCCACCCACCCCTTCACCCAATGTTTGTTTCAAAGGCATTACTTAATATCCACTCTCTTCAAAGTAAAGGATTAGGCACTAAATATTTTCCTAATAATTATTTATATGTATTCCTTTGTTTAAAATTCTCCTGTATTTAAATCTCTCAAGAAGATGTTAAGTTAAAGCAAATAGAATATCATACATTCAATTTTCCTGAGATAAGACATCATAATATATATAATTTTTTTGCCTTTACAAATTGATCCAAGACAAAACTAAGTAGATCACAATGACTGAAGCAAAGACACAGGTGTATACACATAAACTCTGTGTCTGATACCATATTTCTCCTAGCTTGTCCCTTCAGTTGGTATTTACATCTTCTTTGATGGGAAGAATGTCTAGGCCACTGCAGGTAATTCACCAAGTAGATGACCTAGCTTGAAGTTTATTGATTCCATTGGAGAAGGATAATGTCAAGTGGGGCTGGGGATAGCCAAAGTCAAATTATGTATTAATGGAAGATTGCACTGCAGTCTGCTTTACAATGTCCCTTCTGTACCTCAAAAACCCTTATGTGACCCTCCATATGCCCTGGGCTCCCAATTGTTCTCAAGCATTGATTCATGTTATTAACTTTCTCTGGCTTCGAACAGAATGTGAACAAAGGAAAAGTTTCATAAGAAAGGAAGACAATCAAAAGAACCAGGAACATTCTTTTGAAGAAAAGGTGTCTTTCTGAGCTACTCATTAATAAAATAAGATTTAAAGATTTATTTTTCAATAACAACATTGGGAGGAGAAGCCAAGTGACTTTATTAAAGATCTTTCAACAATAAAATGAAAATGGTTGTATACAAATATAATAGCTAAATCAGTGTTCATTAATTTTTCAGTGATGATTATAACAGTAGTAATCCCTTTCTATTCTCCATCATTTTTTAAAAATGTTTTCTTTTCTTCAGTTCTTTCACTTCTACAGATAATTTCTTGAACCAGAGTGAATAGCTATTGTTAAGGGCTATTATTTTCTATTTTGAATAAAGCACCCTGCGCAGATGGACAAATTAATCAAATAATAAAACAAATGGCTTCAGAGCAGTTGACCCAATTATTTTAGTTGTAAAAATTGAGTTAAAGCCAGATCCAGAATTGAGCCGTTCGGTATTCAGTTATTATTACTTCAGGCTTGTAGTTATTAACTATTATAGTTATTTGAGAATATGAACTCCATGCATTTATAGATTATTGGTCTTAGCACTTAGCAAATTTCTAAGAGGGAAATTCGTGAAAAGGTAGAGTAACTTTTAGTAAGGATCTAATATGTGCCAGGCATCATCATGCTTTCCAATCACGATATCCTTTAATCCTTTCAGGATTCCTGCAGCAAAGGTGTTATTATATCCAGTGTTAGTGATAAGACATCAGTATCTCTACCACCTAACACAGTGGCTGGTGCAGTGATCATTTGATACTTGCTGAGGAACGAGAGTGTATCAGTCAAGATTTTTTACTTTCAAGCGCTGGAAACTAACTCTTGCTAATTTAAGCATAAAAGGAGTATATCAAAGACTATCAACTCGCACGCAGAATCTTACATGGAACAATGTAGAAAGCCAGATCTGGAATACTCACAGTGAGGAATAACATCCAATATCACAGCCCAAACTGGTCCTATGAAGACACACTGCCACCCCTGCTAGGCACACATCAACACTGTGCTTCTGGCACCAACAGTGCAGGACATTAAATCAGTGTCTAGGATTGCTACCAATCCAAATTGGGTGGCACTATTGCCACCACTGCCACATTGCCAAGATAGATTAGGCCCTTTTCTGCTGTGTCATCAGCTCTGAAGTCAGTCTGATATGGTGTGTTAATCAGAGGATTCTACAGATAGGTGTCCATAACAGGGCACTGTTGAGAGTGATAGGGTCAGTATTAAGAATTGTCCCAGGATAACAAGCCTATACCAGGACATAGAGTTGCCCTCTGCTAATCCTGTGCCCTAGTTGCAAAGAGATCTTGGAAAGCACATTTTCAGCTTCTATGATAGAACGTGGTCTTGGCTTCTCATCAGTACTTGCAATGTAAGGAATTCCCTAAATGTCAAAAGAGGCAGTGAAGCTGGGTGGTCCAAAGATAAGGACAAATGCCCACTACTGAGTGAGCAATTCAATTTTAGGTAACCTATCTAAAGTAACACAATTAATGAGGTCTACTTCACTCTAAAGTGCTTTTTCTTTTTATTATATCATGCTTTGAATACTGTAGTATGGCAATTCTCAGCTAAGGGCATACCTCAGAACCTACTAAACAGTGTTGTAAACATATGTATTGCAGGGCTCCACTCTAACCTACTGAACCAAAATCTCTGGGAATGTTGCTCCGGCCAGGATCTGTAATTTTCAACCTTCTTCAGAGGAAAAAAAAAATCAATTTGAAAAGACATACTTGTGGAAATAAGGCCACAAGTATCTTTTTGAAGCTTATTAGTTTCCTGAACTATTCCATTTTGCAAGGTAGATTTGATTAGATATGTTCCATAGAATTTACGGGAGCTAGAAAAAAGCCTGTTTAACATGGTAATAGGCAATAGGATAGAATTATAACTTTTAAAATTGGTTACACTTAATTTCCTTTATTATTATCATTAATTGGCAATTTCCAGGACTCTCTCAGGCATTTAGAAGTGTCCATGATACTACACATAGAAATGTTGAGAAACAGCATTCTGGATAACATACATTTTCCTTTCTTGCTGATAACAGTGAATGCTCAGGACAATGAAGACCATGTCCCACTCCATTTCTGTTCTCGATTTGGACACTACGATATAGTAAAGTACCTGCTCCAAAGTGATTCGGAAGTTCAGCCCCATGTTGTCAATATCTATGGAGATACTCCTTTGCACCTGTGAGTATTATATAGCGTTCCATAGATCCTCCAAGTATACTGCATGTGCCTTCTTACAATTAACAAAATATTTTCTTCAAATCTAGGGCATGCTACAATGGCAAATTTGAAGTTGCTAAGGAAATCATACAAATATCAGGAACAGAAAGTCTGACTAAGGAAAACATCTTCAGTGAAACAGCTTTTCACAGGTAAAAGGATATTTAAGTGCAATAGCTGCTAAACTTAGCTGACACCCTACAGCACCTGAAGTTGTGTACATAAAGCAAGAACAAATAGTGGCAAATGTTGCAATCAGAGTGAGATAACAGAGGTAGGGCAGAGGGCAAGGATCCCAAGCTAGAAGCACAGAAAAAAGGTGGAGGCAGATGCTGCAGTCAGTACAACAGATGGGGCCAGAGCCAGATGCTGCATTGCTGGCTGCAGCCACAAAGACAAGGACTGATGTTGCCAAGCAACAGGCATATCAACATCTGTAAGCATATTGCTTCTATTTCTTTTCACTCTGTGGAAAGGTGCCAAAAGGGGCTGTGCCCATGATCCTCCTCCGACAAGAATCTCATTACCAGAATTCATCAGCATCAAATGTGACACTTTTTTCCTTACCACTTAAACCTTATGTGCAAATGTGTCTACCTATCTAAAACATCCATCTGTCAGCCCATAAAAGCCTAGTCAGGGAGGCCACGAAAATGCCTAAGAAGGCATTAGCTCTTTTCTAGGAATCCATGAAAGTCCTTTACAATGTGCTCTAGGAGAGAAAAGCACCCTGAAGGAGCAGCTGGGATTGGAAGAGTTACAACCAAAAAAAAAAAAAAAGAAAGAAAAGAAAAGGTTGCTAATAACTTATAACCATAGCCCCCTAAAAAGTCCAAAAGGAAGGAGGATGTATTATAAAATGTAAAGCCCTAGTTTTAAATAAGTTACTATTTTGCTATAAAAGTAAAAGCATAGTAATTTGAATTTATTAAATTTTAAATATAAGATCATTTACCTACACATTACATTACACACTTCTTGGCTAGTTCTCTACTTCTAAAAAAAATGTATTTGGGACTAATTTGTTGTTTACATAATGTTTGTATTGCAGTGGTGAATAATAAAGATGAAGAGATTCCTTTTTTCATACTAAAGTAAAATTAAGCTTGTGCCTCTGCATCAGGCATCAACCTGTCAAATTTCACTTTGATTGTCAGATTTTTCTTATTAACCAAAGAGGTCAGCTAAAAGGGAGGTGAAGAAAACTACCACTTACGGAGTAGTGACTGTGCCAGATGGTTTGCTTTCATTATCTCACTTAATTTTCATTACCATTGTGACAGTGGATTTATTACCTCTCTTTTACAGATGAAAAAATTGAGGTTTAGGGAAGCTAAGTAACTTGCCAGAGTTTCTTAGGGCTAGAAAATAATGTAGTAAATGCCTGCCTAATTACAAATCTTGTGTTTTTTACCTGTTTTCATATTCTAGTGCCAAAATATTTTGTCTGTTTTCTACGTAGTAACAAAACTGATACAAGAACTCTTCAGATCATACCTTCAGTCCAAATGGATCAGTAGACTCTGTCCCTGGAGGGGACACTTGGCAGAACTGATATGTTTTGGTTGCTGGTATCCTCTTTCCCCATTAGGTCATGCCTGTTTTAGCTGACACCTCAGGCTAGTTTTCAAATCATTTTGCTGCTATGTGCACATAAATTGGAACCAACTGTAATCAGAGGGTGACTGTTATCTCCAGAAAGTTGTCTATATGGAAAGATTTGTGAAGTAAGTTAAAAGTTTGTACCCATTGTTTTATTTTCTGTAAGTCTATGGCTACTAGTAGTAACAGATTAATATTTTTATTCTATTCATTTTAAGCACATATTTATAAAAGAAATTTCTTTTATATGGAGAATTCGTTATGAATACAAATTTTTTATGTACAAATCATAGTACTTTGCACATAGTAAGCACTCAAAACATTCTATTTTTTTCATGTTTTATTTATTTTTTATTGATTCATAATTGATTATATATATTTTGGGGATTCAATGTTGACATATGTTGATCAAGTCAATATTATTAGTATGTATATTGTTGCAAACTGTACTTATTCTTTATGCCCCTTGTCCAGCCTCTCCCTAACCTCTTCTCCTTCCCCGCTTCCACCACTGATAACCCTAGATCTCTTCTCTTCTTCTGAAAGAGTAATGGTTACGCTCTTGATTTGTTGCCTAGATGATCTGTCCAATGCTGCATGGTGTGTTCAGGTCCCCCGATATTATCATATAGCAGATGCTTCTTCTTTCACTCTGGAATGGGCTTTGTGGAGAGACACATCCTATTCTTTTCTTTGGTCTCTTCTGGTGACTCTCCTTGTGTCAATACACTCCATGGCTGGCAGACCAACTGCATGGTGGTTGTGACATATAGCCACTTTTGTGGCAGCCATGGTTACTGTGGTGGCTATGGTGGGCCACCCACATGGAAGTGATGATGTTTTTGGCATGCTCCTTGGCACTGGTGGTGTGCCTGGTTGGGGGGGGTCTAGTCCCCAGCACCATGCTCTGGGCCCCCGGGCAGGGCCCTGAAGTGCTGGTGGTGTGGCTGGTTGTGGGCAGGTGTTCTGGTCCCTGGCACCATGCCCCAGGCCCCAGGGAAGGCCCGAAGGTGCTAGCAGTGTGCCTGGATGTGGGAGTGGGGTCCTGTCTCTGGCTCCATACCTCAGGTCCCCTGGTGGGCCCCAAGGCATTGGTGGTGTGCCTGGGCCAGAACTAATTTTTTGTCCTTTGCTTACTTACTTCTAAAATGGGGGAACTTCCTATGGGAAGCAGAACTTGAGCTGTGTTATTGAGCTAAATTGATGTTTTGCTGCTGTTTCTCTAGGGAAGACTTTTTGTGCAGCCCAGGGTTTAACGGTTGACCTTCTAGGTACTTCCGGCTCTCCAGAGACCCAGTGAACCTGGGTTGTGTAGAAACTCTGATACAGGCTTGAGTCTTTTCATGAAACTGCACCCCATGCAATTCTGCATTCCTGACCAGTCTCTCTGAGTGGACCTATGCTGACTAGGGGGCGGATCAGCTGTCCTTGCTGTGTCCCAGTGTTCTCCTGGTGGGCCTGTCTCCCCTACCGCCCATGCTCCAAACACTTCCCATTGGATGGTCCCTTGTGTTGACTAACCAGCCTCTGAATGGCTCCCCTTTTTCAGCTGTTCTGCTCCTCACTCCTGCATGGATCCACAGGAACCCTATGAGAGGTCTTGCTGTCCTGGGGACCACCAAGGCCCTCTTCTCCCTTGCCACCTTCAAGTAACTCCATCTGAAGGGCATAGCTGCAGCTTCTGCCAGCTCCTGCTCCATGTGCTCAGCAGTTCCAACATTAAAGCAGCCATGGCCCAAAACACTCCAAGCAGTTTTTTCTTTCTCTCATTGTGGCTTCTCCCCCTTCATGACTTCATGAACTCTGTAGGCCTCTCCTCCTCTTCCCCTGAGCTCCAGCAGCCCCAGCTTGGCTGATGGTACATTTTTATAGTTGTAAATTGGTTGATTTGTGGGAGAGAGTGAAACCGGAGACCGTCTCTTCTGCCATCTTGACTGGAACTCCCTATTTTTTTATATGTATGTGTACACATATGTATATGTACATATGTGTGTATATGTATATATAGGTACACACAGACACATATATATACATACAAATATATTCAGAACTCATCATTTCCTGTAAATAGTTGCTTTGAAAAGGAACAATGGATCAATTCAGACAATGGATTATTAAACGTTTAGTGTTATGTGTCCTAGTTATAATGCAAATAGTTAATAGTGATATCAGACATTGCACTGAGAAGGTGGCTTTTTATTTACTCAATTATTCAAGAAAGAGTTATTAAGAACCTGCCTTGTGTTGTTGCTGATAGGGACATTAAAATGGCAGAATCTCTTCCCTCTTTAAAGGAGCTCTATTGTGAGGTATCAGGGTAAACAGAGATGTCCATTACCATAACACAGTGTAGTAAATGCCATAGAATGAAATGACAAGGAAACAGAGGAGAAAGCAATGAATTCTACCTTTGGTTTACAAGAAGATTTCATACAGGGAACAAAAGTGCTGGATAAAGGATAAATGGTATCTTGTTAAAGAAAAATTACTTGGGTAAGGCCATCCCAGGAAGAGAAAATAGTAAGGCCCAGTAAGCTATGTCTTCTTCTAGAACCAAATCCCTATACCCTTCCTTTAGTCATGACTTAGGTGGGGCTGTGCCTAATGCCAGCTTCTTCCAGTCACCTATGACATACCTCAGAGCTCACTGAGGTTTAAAAGTGGAGTATAGCTCATGAACTATAGCAAAAGCAGAGATATGAGGGAAACCACAGGAAAAGAAAATTTATAAGAACTAGTCAAAAAATAAAATTCAATAGTCATTTCCAGGCTTAATTTACCTTATACAAAATCTTTTTCTCTATGCATCTTAACTTTCCCAGTGAGCAGCAGAAATCAGAATGTAAATTAACTACTTAAACAAATCTAGTTGTAAAATTTATCTATAAAAATCTTAGTTTTGAGGGGCCCTAAAATATGTTAGTTTTTCCACAAAAACTTCCTCTTATCTAGAAAGAGCTGGTAATGCACAATCCTTTACAGCTTGTAATATGATTCTATAAGCATTAAGTTACTTGACATTTCAGCAACAATTTGGCAAATAAAGAAGGTCTTTATTATTATTCTTTACATGGTAAAACTAAAACTCAAAGAGGTTAAAGAATGTGTTCAAGGTCCGATGGCTAATGTGTGGCAGAGCGCTGGATTTTGAGTTCACAACCAATGCTCCCTCAGTAAAATTACAGCCTTGAAACCTTACCCTCTGGTCAAGGAAGTCTCTGCAAAAACTATGGATTGTTTTTCCAGGAAAGCATTTCAGATTGTGACCGAGACTTATCTAATGTTCTCAGGACCCTCCTGGATTCCTCATATGATTGTCACGCAGAATAATTCCTAGGTCCTACAGCTAACAATGCGTGGAACTCTTGCAACACTTTTTCTCCTTTTATGAAAAAAACTAATATCATAGGAAATACTTGATGATAAATGCTAAAAATTTCACACAACTTCTTTCTTGAAGGCCCAGATGTGAGACTCTTCAGGATTTTATCATTGTATGTGCACAGTTTTATTTACCCTTGATAGACAGTGCTCATTTGTCTTTCATCACCTCCTTCTCATCTCTGCTTCCCTTCTTCTTCCTTCTCGGTCTCTTTGACACTCTTACATACACACCAGCATCTAGAATATCCTGGGTTAATCAAGGTTTTATTAGTTGGCTAAGGCTGCCGTAAACAAAATAGCACAGACTGGGTGGCTTTAACAACAGAAATTAATTTTCTCACAGTTCTGCAGGCTACGAGTTCCAAAGCAAGGGGTCAGCAGGATTGGTTTCTTCTGAGACCTCTCTCCCAGGCCTGAAGATGCCTGCCTTCTTGCTGTGTCTTCACATGGTTGTCTCTGTGTGTCATCTGTGTCCTAAGACCCCTTTTTTATAAGGATATCAATCATATTGGATTAGGGCTCACTCTAATGACCCCATTTTAATTTAATTACCCCTTTAAAGATACTATCCTTAAATTCAGTCAGGTTATGAGGTTATGGGGGTTAGGGTTTTACCATATGAATTGGGAGGAGGACACTCAATTCAGCCCATAATAAGGGCTTTTTATTTTCTTTGGTTTTTTTGCAGCGCTTGTACCTATGGCAAGAGCATTGACCTGGTTAAATTTCTTCTTGATCAGAATGTCATAAACATCAACCACCAAGGAAGGGATGGGCACACAGGTAAGACTGTGGTGAGAACATCAATAGCTCTAGGTGCTTATCAGTGCTCAAGAACAGTAGTGCACCAAGGGGGAATGAAGCACTGACAGTGTGAGAGTCGTCCACCCCAGGGCAGATGGGTATTTTATCAAGTGACATCATTATGAATGGATGGTGAGTGGTGAAAATAAAAAGCAGACTGGCTTTTGCTCATTTTTATTACGGTGTTAAATTATCTACAGTTAAGGCACCCTTTTGTGGCCTGCACTAGTGACAGACTGACCATACTGCCCTGCCCTTAGTTTGGTGCTCAAGAAAAAATACCTGCTTGGGGTCTTTGTTCTTTTACTTGTGTAAAGATGCTAACGTTTGGTAATTACAATAGATGTATAAATATTATAAATTGCACTGAGCAAAAGATAGTCTGTCCAGAATCGAATACTTCTTTTGCTTAAAGTATTGTCTTGTTTGCTCAATAATAAAATTAATTGTTTATTAAAGAAATCAATCCTTACTTTACAATTCTGGAAACAATACTATTATGTGGTGATGACTGTCTGGAAAATCGGAGTGCAGTTTTCCTCTTCTCTCCTTTCATTCTTTAAATTCTTTTTTATTACAGGATTGCACTCTGCTTGCTACCATGGTCACATTCTCCTAGTTCAGTTTTTACTGGATAATGGAGCTGATATGAATCTAGTAGCTTGTGATCCCAGCAGGTCCAGTGGTGAAAAAGATGAGCAGACATGTTTGATGTGGGCTTATGAAAAAGGTATATTTTTAATCGTTGAGTCTCTACAGTGATACTTTGAACTGTGTGTATAGATTATGTCAATACATCAATAATTCCTTTGCTTGCATGACTTGTACACTCCCATTTTCTCTGTAGATTGTATTTGAGTCTCTGTGGACTTGGATCAAAGAGTCCAATAGACCATCATTAGAGTAGGCAACCTCTGGGCTGCAGATGAGCTAAAGTCATTCTCAGTATTAGCACCATGAAAAGGGAATGAACTATCTCATTTCTTAGTACCAGAGAAACAAAATTGTGATAGGTAATAAAAGTAGAGTGGACTTAGAGCTAGTTTTCTTTATCTCTTATATAGGGGAATTTTGATGTGGATTCACATTTTAAAAAAAGAAAAAATACAAGGGAAAAGAAGGAATATTTGTGAGATCTAACCCTACTGACAATGCCTATGCTGGAAAAATGTAAGGGAGCCAATGATTACTGCTTAAGTATAAAATTACGTGAGCTGAAAGTGGTAAGAGCCTGAGCACTGGTGTGAGAACACCTGGGTTTAAATCAAGCCATGTGAGTTATTTAATTTTGCTGAGCTCCAGTTTCTTCATCTGAATAATGAGGATGACAACCATCCTTCACAAGATTGTAAAGATTAAGTGAGATAATATGTCCAAATTGCTTAGAACAGTGGCTGGCATAAAATACCCAAAAATTGGTATTTTAGGGGTGAGTGGTAGCAGTGGTACTAGTGATGGTTCAGAAATAAAGATTATTGGTAACAGATTCTTTATTTCAAGGGAGAGGTAACTAGGAGCATTCAGAAGATATATTGTGCCTCATAAGTGAGCTCTGCATGTACACATAAGCTCCTAAGGAGTTGAAATTTTCAAGGAACGTGGAAGAGTACACATTGTCATTAAAATTGTAGAATTATAATTCAATACTGTAAAAGATACCTGGCTTTTAAGAAACATTTTAATTGTTATTTTAACTTTTGATGACTGCACTGCCTTTGTAAAATGTTTAAAATATGTAAAGAAACATATCTATCTTTTTAAAGGTTAACATCCTAAAAGACAATACTGAAAAATACAATTACTAAGTTGTAAGATTTCTCAGCTT